TGCCTCCCCCCCTCTTCCAACCGGCCAGATGGTCGGTCTGTCCCAACCCTCCCTACAAGAGAAATGTTGGATGAAAAACTAGATTTGAACATTTAGTATTAAATAATACCTCAGATTAAAGTTAGGATAATATAATTGACATTGCTGGATTCCTTGTAAGACCAGGAATATTTTGAATATAAATGTCATATATTTTGCACAAGAGATAACATATTTACTCAGAGTAAACATTATATCTAAAATTTGTATGTCTAATGCAAAATCTATGATGTTTATATTCAAAATGATGATCATATGGTAAGAATTCCAGCAATGTAAATTATATTCTGGCCGGGTAATTTGTATGAATTTTATGAGCTAAAAAAAATATATATATATTATACTTCACCGTGTATATGAGTAGATGAACCGCGTTAAGTGAAAGTTCGGTTCTGGCGAGGCACCGCGTATATGAGAAACCGCGTAAAGCGGGGTACAACTGTATATATATATATATTAACATTATTTAATGTTAATAAATGGAACAATAGAAGTAGCTAACCACTAATGGCAAAGAAAAAATAGAGATGGGTTGGGAACGCCACCATATACCCGGTACATGCGCATTTAAGCATACCGTGTAATTTTTCTTTTTTAAGAATATGTGCAAGAGATTCCTTATTGCTTATTACTAAATATGTATTTCATTGAATTAATGTTTATATATGTGAAATGAACAATGCAATTCATTAATAATACGTAGAATATTAAAACACACAAGTGGAGACATGACTGCATTGTTTTCGTGAGTGACGATGGTTTTACATAAGAAACTGAAGAAAATGAGACCCTAGTTGTAGCTGTAGTGAACGTAATTTAAAAAAAATTTAATACCTGTATGTATGTTTTAAGTCATGTTATTTAATGTTAATAAATGAAACACTAGAAGTAGCTAATCACTAATGGTAAATAAATAAAGTGAAACGATTAGGAACGCCAACATATGAACAGTAAGTGCGTACATGTGACAACATAGCGTTATTTCTCTACATAGGAATATGAAAGCAACACTTCATTTACTCTTCATATACAGTCAACCCTCGCTTTACGCGGTCCCACTTTACGCGTTTCCATGTTTACGCAGTACCCTGCCGAACACGGAATGCTCACTTTCCGCGGTGTGTGTACCCTTTTATGCGGAGAGCAGCGCGAGCAGGGTGCGCACAAGGTCGCCCAGTCATCAAAACATTACCTAGTTCTTCACCCGCCACCCACCACAGCCGGCCCAAGTCAGTGATAATGATAGTGAGAATATGGACTTATATGGACTTTGAGGGGTTTGACAAAGAGGCCCTGCAAGCCTGTGGTGGATAGTGATACAATTGATACAAGTGATACAGGCGAGGGCCAATAATCTGCCTTCTGCCTCGGAACCAACCCCCCATCCCTGTGTGCCCAGCCATCTTTTCTACTAATGTAGGTGTTAAAAAACCTTATATTATTTATATTTCTCTTAATTATTAATTGTGTGTGCATACCATCATAAAATTAAGAAGTTATTTTTACTACAACGTAGGTATTGTGTCTGAAAAAGTGGAGTTTGGGGGTCGGCCCGGTCTCTATTTCAATTAATCCCATATGTTATGTTGTTCACTTTATGTGTTTCTCACTTTACGCGGGCCGCCGTGGGTTCAATTGACCGCGTAAAGTGAGGGTTCACTATGTTTTAAATAATATTTACGAATGTAAAACAAAAATTCTACTCACCAATGGTGGTAAAGTCTAAAACATAAGGACAGCCAATGAATATTGTGCGAGTTTTTACTCAGATGACAAAGTCATCAGGTTCAACTCTGGCTGAAGCTGTAGCTTTCCAAAAAGCTGTTACTGAAACTGTTACTGAACCTGAAGTTGAAGCTGCATATGATGCTGAATTTGATGGTGCAGCTGAAGCTGATGGTTTAGGCCTTCAAATAATAAAGCTGTCTGAAGAACCTTGCACAGCCGCTTTCTTTTCTCATTATACATCTTTATGTAGAGGTCATTTGCATTTATCTAAATTTAATGTTTTGTTGTTAATGGATCCACTTCAGAAAATATGTTCATTGCTTGCTCCATATAATATCCACAGACCTCTCACCTTTTTCAAACGTTTTAACACATCTAGTTTCTCGGCTAAGCTTATACACTTTCTATTAGCCTTTGAAACAACACTACCATCACTTGCTCATATTGAATAGGGGAAGCAAAAATGCTGTAAGAAACCTGAGAAAGTTTTTCTCCTCTTCCTGTTCAGATGCGTGAAAACAAATGGACCGCCAAGTTCCGACTGTTGATTACTGGCGATACGAATTATCACTCATTAGCCAGGTAGTTTCTTTGCGCAAGGCGCTCTTCATTTTTTTACAGTACATTTTTTTTATAATAAATATTGGGATTTAGTTATTATTTATATGAAAATATAATTTTATTTTATTTTGATTAAATTTTGGTCGTAAATACGAAAGAAATAAGGACGTAAATTGAATTGGGTCCTAAATTAACTAGGGTCTTAAATATGAAAAATTGTTGGTCGAACCGTTGTTATCGGAGGCTTTACTGTACTCTCGATTTAACGGAATCCGATATAACGAACTCTCGATTTAGCGGAAGGATTTAATGAACTAATTTGCTAAATCAAGACTAATTCCGTCATTACACTCACACCTACGGAGACACCTCAGGCATGATATGCACATAGAAACATTATTCATAGGTTACCTTAAACTTGGGGGAGTTCGGTGTTTGTTTTAAATTTTTCTATTACAGTAGTACTTCCAACTTATTACCAATTGATAGCCGCACTCTTTTGGCTTTCTCCCCCACACCTCTTCCTTTCTGAGAGTTCTGAGAGACTTTCGGCATGATGTCTAAGTACTGTAGTTAGTTGACTGAGATGTTGACCAAGAGGTAACAGTGAACAACACGGGGTGGCGGCAGGACACAGACTGAGCTGATGTAAACAAACCCCATGCACCAAGTGGTGCATTTGGCATGAAGTTTAACGAAATCACACTCGATTTAGCGAACCAGTTTTCTAAATCAAGCAAAACTAAAGGAAAGTTCAATTTAGCGGAAATTTCAATTTAACAAAAGTAACTCGAATTAGTTCGTTAAATCAAGAAAATACAGTGGTCCCTCGGTTAACGAATGGTTCAATTAACAAAATTTTGGTTAACGAATTACCTCCCATAAGGATCTTCAATTCGGTTAACAAACAAAACTTTGATTAACAAAATCATTACGAACATCACGTTTTGTTGTGAGCATCAGCTGATGGGCTTGTCTGCCAATTCAGTAATCTGTTCTATGTTTACATTCGTTTCCAGTGGAGTAAATATCAAGAAAGTTGTGCTCTTTAATATTTTTGCATTTTTTATATTAAAACTAATAGTCATTTTAACATTTATTTAACATAATGATAATATAAGCAGTACAGGGAACTAGTTTTTTGTGCGCCCATCAGACGCTTGACTCAGCCACCAGGCGTCAGTTGGGCTTTGTTGACAGTGGAGTGAACACCTATTTTGTTGGTGTCTTGAATATTTTTGCATTTTTACATTGAAATTATTGGTCATTCTGAAATTTAGCTAACATATTGATAATATATAGTGCAGTGCAGTATTGATTTAAATAAAATAATCTTGAATTACACCTAGTGAATTAAAAATTTTATTGGTGAAATGACGGCATCAAGCCTGGGTCCCCCGAAAGGAGCTTTGTCCTCCATCCTCACTTCCTTCTCTTCTCCTTTCCCCTCCACCCCCACTTCTAATTCCCATCATCAAACTTCTACATACACACCTCAAAGTATGTGTACTTTACTGCATTTTTTTTTTACTTTTTATGTACTTTTCTGTGAGGTGGAACCAATTACCCAATATCCCATTGAAACACTGGATTCGGTTAACGAAATTTTTGGTTAACGAACGACCCTCTGGAACGAATTGTGTTCGTTAACCGAGGGACCACTGTATTGAAAAGTGAAACTAGCAAAGGAAATTGGAAGTGAGGGTTTTGATGACCTGCAGATAGAGAAGGTAAATGAACTGTTGGACTTGCATTTTCAAGACCCAACAAATGAGGAGCTTAAGGACTTTATAGCAGATGACAGTAAAATTGACGATAATAATGATGCTCAAGTGGAACCTGTAAAACCTAAAGTGAGCTGACAAGGAAGAGAAAAATCTTTATTCAAATGATTTTAAGTACAGCACAGTAATATCTCCGTTAGCTGGAATCCCTCAAACCCAGATCTCTCCAATAGCCGGAATTTAACTCTTCTCAGAAAATTTTTCCCAATGCCAGAATTTTCTGGAAAATTGCGGCTTTGGAAACAATTTTCCAAGGGGCACATTTTCCGGAAAATTCCAAGAAAATTTTCCCCAATACCCTGAAAATTCCAGGGATAAGGAATATTTTTCTGGGTTCGAGAGATGAAGTAATGGGCAATTTTTGGAACGTCCAAGAACATTTTTCCATTACCCGGAAAATTCCAGAGATATGGGATTTTTTTTCACGCTTACAGAGAGTCGTCTCATTACCCGGAAATCTCTCATTCCTGGAAATGCTCTGCACCAATGTTTCAACTAATGGATATATCACTGTATAACTACACTGAGTCAAGATAATTAGGTCTATAATGTTAGTTTTTTAAGTAGGGGTATGACTGACATACTGTATTACAATAAACTGACAATCAGAGAAGACCTGTGTGGAAAGCCCCAGCATACTAGTGATAGCTACAAGGTATTTTGATGCACTACAAGGTTATACTGTATATGGTATCTTCCTGGAGTTGTCAAGCTTAAGGGTATTGTGATAAGCAACAGCCGGAGATGTGTGTACATGGTGATGGGAAGAATAGAGACCAAGTTAAATGTGTAGACCTAAGGCACCAACGTTCAGCTACTGTGCTGTATTTACTTTAATCACAATATTAAATGGCAATAAAAACAAGTTCAGTACAGTAATGTACTCACCAGCAGAAGGACCAGGTGGACCATGGGGAGGCATGCCACCTGGTGGTCTTGGACTCACCATGCTTGGGGCCTGTCCCTGAAGCATGGCTCTATTACCAAGCCTGCAAAAATGAACAAATGAGTACAGGTTAAAGGCTTACGGTCAAAGGTCATAAGATGAGGATAGAAGAAAACATCAAAGGTCACTTATACAAATTATATCACTGATTCATGTTTTCAATAATAAATACTACTGACCAAAGTAAACTAACCAGTAAGTGGGTCCTTAGCAACTCTATTCAGTTATCAATCATACAAGGCACACATTGAAATTCACCGTGACAATTCAGGTTAACAAGATAATCAACATTACAGAAGGGCACAGTAACTGGCAAACAACCACCCATGCCTTAACAGGATACAAGTAATCATAACAATCATGAGGTTCAGTATAAAATTCAACAATGAATAATGAAAAATATTTGGTTTTATGTATTCTTTAAGGGTTAAGTAATTATACTCAACTTATTTTGATGGGATAGTTAGGAACATTTGTTTCAATACATGGACTAAAGTCCTGTGGAGAAAATGGTGTAAACACTAATGAAAATAATGCAGTGGTGTTCAAATGAAGCATCATCCTGTAAACAATGATCTTTAACCGAGCTTTGGGCACAAGTTATTAATGGTAGAGAACACAAAATACAGTACAACCAGACCCAAACTATTTTATATCACAGGTACAACCAAAATTATGGACACCTATTTAGATTCTCAAAGAAACAACCCTTTCGCTGCATTTCCTGCACTTGCCATTTTATTCTGGCTACCACAGGAAGATTTTATTCTGCTTAGATTAACCTCCTTCAGCCAAAGGGTGAAAAAAAATTTGCCTTTATCCACTACATCCTGTTCCTCGACTTACGACAGGGTTAGGGACCCAAATCCAGGTCGTAAGTCGAATTGGTCGTAAGTCGAATTGGTCGTAAGTCGAAAATGCTTAAATTATACAGTACTGTACATAGAAAATAAAAAATGGGTGTCTCTTTTTCTTCTCAGCACCACAAAACTCTCACTTTTAAGCTTGCCAGCCATTTTAAAGTGAATTACAGTCGGCCCTTAACATACGCTGGGGTTAGGTAACAGAGATACCCGTGAATGTTAAAAATCCGTGTACTATTGCTGTCCCCCCCGAAAACACCCCTGGCCCCCATGTCCTTATTTACCGTATATACCTGTGTGTAGTTCGAGTTTTTAAGACCAAATTATTTGGCAAAAAATTGGGGGTCGACCTCTAAACGGGTAATAGTTTTGCTAGGTTGAAAAATATTTACCAGTAACTACCAGTAAACAATGGAAACGACGCACCAACGCACCACCAGCTGTGAGTGTCGGTACAGTTGCCAGGGCAGATCTCTTGCGTCATCATAGCAAGCCCAAAGTAGCCAAATGCATGGTATGGTATGCACAAGACGATGTAAAACATATAAAGTATTCATTTTTTAAAGTTTATTTATAAATACTGTACATAAATTTTTTTTCATTACATTTGAAACATCAATCTTTGTTAATTAAATTTGAAACAAAAGAAAACTATGATACCGTATTTTCATTAAAATATTACATCACAAGTATATTTTACCTTAACTGTGACTGAATGAATATATTCTCAGAAATAAATATGGAAATGTAATATTTTGGCTGAAATGACGTACGTATTACAGTGGAAAGCGGGATAAAATCATGACGAAAACAATGACTTTCGCTTTCTTTCGTTGTTCAAAAGATTTTTACCGTAATCGCTTTTTGAATGGTTTTCAGTTAAAAAACTGTTGTATTACAATAATATTCTATCCTAATTCACTTGAATAAATACTACGATACCATATTTCTGAATATTTTCATTAAAATCCATCAAAATCATTTTCCTTGTCATCGTCTTCAGCACCAAACAGCTCCTACCAGTCTTCTCCTTGAACAGGGCTAGAGGGTACGTGTTTTTCGAATCTTCAGTTAAAAAACTGTTACATCACATGTAAATTTTACCTAAACTGCGCCTGAATGAATATATTCTCAGAAATAAATAGTAGTTTTGCTGAAACGTGATGTATTTCAATGTAAAAGAGGATAAAATACGTGACGAAAACAAAAGACTTTACCTAACCTTCCGATGTTCAAGAGTTGTTACTAGTTTTTTTAATAGTTTTCGGTTAAAATACGGTTATATTACAATGACATATTTTTGCTGAAATGATGTACGTATTACAGTGGAAAGTGTGATAAAATCATGACTAAAACAATGACTTTCGCTTTCTTTCGTTCAAAAGATGTTACCGTAATCGCTTTTCGAATGGTTTTCAGTTAAAAAAACTGTTGCATCACAAGTGAATTAGGATAGAATATTATTGTAATACAACAGTTTTTTAACTGAAAACCATTCGAAAAGCGATTACGATAACATCTTTTGAACGAAACAAAGCGAAAGTCATTGCTTTCGTCACTTTCCACTGTAATACGTACGTCATTTCAGCAAAAATATTACATTTCCATATTCTCAGAAATAAATAGTAGTTTTGCTGAAACGTAATGCATTTCAATGTAAATTAGGATAAACTACATGAAAACAAAAGACTTTACCTAACCTTCCGATGTTCAAGATATGTTACTCGTTTTTTTTAATAGTTTTCGGTTAAAATACTGTTATATTAGTGATATTCTATTCATACTGTGCTTGATATAATACATTCACGGAAATGTAATATTTTTGCAACTACAATGCTGATGTCAACACAAGCGTGGTTACAGCGAGGCTGACTGAGTGAGGGAGTGCGGGGTGGGGTGACGACGCGCTATGCGTGTGTGAGGTAGCAGGAGCGGGCGGTGTGCAGTGTTCAGTGCCGCGCGCGATTTGAATGTACTTCAATTACTTCAATGTACAGAATATTCCTCCGGTGGGGCAATCCGCGTATTTGCAAATCCATGAATGCTAAACCCGTGTATAAACAAAAATTTTGTCAGTACACAGCGCAATCACTAATACTGGGGCTCGAAAATACGTAATTCGACAACATTTTGGTACTACCCCATGTACAGTATTTGCTCATCATTATTCCTATCCTGTACATTTGCATTTGAACAATATTAATACAGTTATGTACATATTCTCCAGCACAATTTTTTTTATTAAATTAAATTATATTAACAGACAGTGGTCAATATTCAGAAAGTGTCACCATGGACCTGAGTATCGAGTCATATATGGAGAGGGGAAAAAATAAATAAAAATAATTTATTCTATAACGTTTCCATAGGAAATGTATAGTTTTCCAGTAAAAGTAAAAAAGTAAAGTATAATATTTGGCCAGACAGCATGTGTTGATGTGACGTCATAATCATGAAGGCCAATCAGCGTGAGTGCTGATGTGACGTAATACTCGTGCATGGCCAGTTGGAAGATGGAACCTGTGTGAGATGGATGTACATTGGCTAGCTGCCGCATTATTCAGCGCATTTTGGATAATGAACCAGCAGCCGTTGTCATTTTTAGGGCTCATGCGGTTTTTGTTTCATCTGTAAAGTGTCATTGACGTAATTCAGTGTCAATACCGTGTAGATCACCATGCATAGTACTGTACTGTGATAAGAAACGGACACTTCTCCATTCAAGCCACACCACTTTACCCTCCTGTATCTCTTACTTAAGGCACCAGAGGTTGGATTGAGTTAAGTAGGTTAGGTTAGGTTTTTTTTTAGGTTATTACATTATTTGACCAACCACTTTTTTTCTCAAATATTTTCACTATACCTCATTTCCGATGGCAATGAATGTTATGTTTGTATTTAACACGATGAGTTACATAAGAAACCCGTTTATAATATTCAGGTCCCTGGTGACACTTTCTGAATATTGACCCAGACAGTATTGTAGAAATAACTGTACAGTACATGTACTAGTATTATTTTCAATAGAACCACTACTGTATAGGCATCCCATGGGACAAATCATGCACAGTACTGTACTGTATGTTTTAAATACTCCAAAAACATTCCCCACAACTCAAGTGTCCAAATAAGACATGTAGGCCTCAGCACACCACATGATCCCCCCCCCCTCAGAATATTCCTCGGACCCCATCCCAAATGGTCTTGCCCAACTTTACCCAATATATGCAGAGAAAAAATCTGTTTGTTCCCGTGTAATGAATATTCAGCTAGTGAGGACATTAAGAATGTTTTGATGACCCAGAATGCAAGTGGAACCCGTCCCCTCCAACCTCGACACATGCCTCACCCACACCACCAAGGCCTGCATCTCCTGCCCAAAAGCAGCCTGCTCCTGCTGTCTCACAGCAGCCTGCACCGACACACCTGCCCAACCGCATCCAGCCCATACGAGCACGAACTGATTGCTATAAGAACAGTCCAGTCCCAACCATTGTAAAAATTATCAACACCTAATTATTATATATCATATTTGTATCACTTATGTTACTTGTATATCATTTGTAAATCAAGAGACCCATTCCCCAATTATGTAATTGTATATTTTCAGCCTTCCGGCTGCCATGCTCTTTCGATAAACCGTTAATTATTATTATTATTAATGGCCTGTACCTTCTGTACAACAGCAGCCTGTACCTTCTGTACAACAGCAGCCTGTACCTTTCAAATGGAGTATTCTTTGTCATGAAAGGTTAGGAATTAAAGATAATGATGTGACAATCCACTTAAACATTACAGTAAGCCTGCCAAACTCAACTGTAAGAGCTTGCCTATCCCCTTACTCAGTCTCGTAAAAATCCAACAGATGTCCATTTCATAACTTAAGAATCCATCATTATTTGAACATGTGAGGTGAAATATGGTATGGCTATGCAACTGAAGGTATAATCAAAGGGGTTGGCCCCACTGAAATTTGGTAAGTTTATCTACTTCATGAAAAATAAAGCCAGGCTATGCTGGGTACCGCTGTTAAATCATGGGTATTATTGTTTCGGTCATCCAACAAATTTTAGTAGATTAGGATAGGTTACGTTGTATTGCAGAATCAATGCTGTGACCGATGTTTACCAGTTAGGTTAGGTTCCAAATACAGTAGATGGATGACCGAAGAGATGATTTTACCAAATCATGTACCCTCTAATATATCAGTTGCTGGAGGCATTTGAATTAATGGAAAGGTCACTGCAAATGTTTGTGTGCCATCAACATGTCGTGTCAACGTGTCATTGGGATAGAAGAGACTACAGAAAAACAATATGATAATTCTAATTCTTTAACTTGGTTTGCAATTTTTTCGAAGAATGGGGTGTAGGTGGTACAGTGGTAACGAACATACCTCTCCCCAATATGTCAATTAAGGGTTTGAATCCTGAACACACAAGAAGGGTGTTATCCAGTGTGACCCTCACTACCAAACATCACAGGTTCCCAGACACAGGATTCCTCCTGTACTAACACTGGACAGACCAACCGCCCGAACAGCTAGTACACTTGATAAGTGGTGAAATGATAAATAAAAAAGTCAAAACATTAGCTACAGCTACATTAAATGATGTACTTGTTAATGCAAGTAGTCAATTTTTCTGATTTAAGCAGGACTATATAAATTTAGGAAAATAATAAATTAAAATTACAAACACACTCACATTTATAGTTTCTACTGACAATGTCAGCATCCAAACAGATGACACAATGACCTCAATCAACCTGTCAAGCATAAATATCACCATTAAATGGACACCCACACTGGGACGTTAGCAGACACATGGGATATTATTATAATCTTCAACTGCCACACTGAGTACTATATTATAACTTTTGGAACTGAAGAGGTAAGGTTCCGGCAGGAGGTGGGTGGGAATAATGTTCCAAGTGTCACTCAGTTGCAGACGGCAGATGTAAACACTCTAATCTAGTGAAAGTATTTTTATACCCATACTTCTACACACCCTCCGGACATTAGCGGGCATTCAAAGTCACGATAACAAACCAAATTTAACTTACCACGTTTTAGAATAGTATAATACCAGCTAAGAGTACTTAGTAAAAGTTGACAGTCAGACGTGGTCTAAGTGCCACGTACGGACTGAGTGCGCATGCGTGTTGACGGGGCCACGTCACGGCCGCCGACACAAGACTCTCGCCCCGCGTCAACTCCACTCTCGTACCACAAAATCTTACACATTCACATTATAATACATTATTTTCAAATGCTCTTGGCATCTTGTCTTAAGTGAGACACTGTTACTGGGGAAAAATATAGTGAAGATATATTATCTAGCATGGTGCTCTCTAATAAAACTTCTACATCCGTAGAAATTCCTATCTTACAGATAATGATACGTCCGACACACTTACTAATATTCTTGAAACATTCAATGACCATGTTATGTCTTCCATAAGTCTTAGGAGTACTGGTTATGTTGACTATCAAATTATCCTACTATAATAGGGATTTACTAATTAGAAGAATATAAACACTCTCGAGGTCATTCATTACTCAGTCGAGCGTTCAGCTTTTACCTGCAGCTGGCAGATGCCCTCCCAACTATCGGAGTCACAGCTTTAGGCTGAATAGAAGCCACAGATTCAGAAAATTGTCAGGGCAAACTTTTTTGAAGTGAAAGTTGTGAAATCTTGGAACAGTCTGACTCTACCAGTGTTGTGAGTTTGTGACGGCACCGCCAGTCAGCCAGGTGAGGGTACAGTGGGGAGGGGTGTTTTGAAGAATCGAAGTTGTGTAGAATCAAACTAAAGCCAGGCGACAGACTTCCTCATTGTTGGATGTATCTACAGATCCTCAAACTTTAGAGCCTTAAATTACAACGCAATGGCGCTCAATCCTCGCCACCTCCTAGTCATGTGGGACTTCAACTATGGCGACTTCTACCGGAGAAATAAAATTATGCCAAGTGACCTTAATAATCCTGCTACTCTTTTTATAGAAACATTGAGAGATAATTTTCTATTCCAACATGTTAAATATCCGATTCACTGCAGAAGGGAGCAAACATCCAAACCGCTGGCTGGCGCCAGTCACCACGTAACGTTATCCTTCAGGTTTAACTGTTGCTTGGTTCATGACAAAAGCAGACCAAGGTTCAAATATTACAAGGACAATTACGGTGGGATGAGAGAGAAGATGAGAGGTATTCAATGGCCTGACTCACTAAGATATAAGAACGCAGCCACTAATGCTGAATATCATAACAAAGGTCACCTATATTGACCTTGATCATAACCAATAAAGTGAAATTTGATCGATAAATATATACCCAAGGCCTGCCCTGATGTGTCCTGCTGCCCCCTAGCGAAGTCCTGCCCCATCTTCACGACACTCGGTGCCACAACCTAGCCTCCACCCACCGCAAGCCGCGCCCACTCCTGTGTCTGCGCTGTCTCCACCAGGGCTATCTGGACCTGAAGACATTGTAGTGGATTTCTCCCCTACAAACGCTGTTTGTCGCTGAGTAGCCGACCCCGCGAATTCCCTAGTGTATGCCTCGTGGTCTGGGTCAACCAGCGCCGCCATACATCACGGAGGTCAACTACTAAGCTACGCCTACCCCCGCTATTTAAGACCTGACCTCGTGGTGACCTCTCTTCTTCTAGCTACAGCCGGAGCAAGCTACACCTCCTCCTCCGCCGCTGCCTGGCGGCCCTCGCTCCCGCCGGAGAGCATGGCGACCCACAAGCTGTCCTCCTCTGAGCATCCTCACCAACCAGCTCTCTTTTTCTACCTACACCAACCAGCCAGCAACACCTCCTCCTCCTCCGCCTGCCTGGCGGTCCTCGCTCCCACCGGCGAGCATGGCGACCCACAAGCTGTCCTCCTCTGAGCACCCTCACCAACCAGCTCTCTCTACATCACGCTTGTAACCACGCTGCCACTTCCCAGCACCAAGCTGCATTGTACATCCAATACAACATGTATACAGAGAGCACATTGTGAGTTTCCTTTCTCCATCCCATCCTGAGTGGAATCAAACAATCCCATACCCCACAAATGGTGACCCCCGGAGATTCGCACTCACACAGGATGGAGGAGAAACCGATCACTCTCACAGTCTTCAAGCAACATGGAAGACTGGCTTATTCACCCAGAAGCAGCTCTCATCGGCTCTACAGCTACTGTTTCTGCACCGCAGGTTAGACACCCTAGAGCAGCACTACTTCTCTAAGCAGACACCAGCTCCTCTTCCTGCCCCAAGCACCATGTCCTACCGACCCCAGCACACCCGTCCTGCCTCAGACGCCGCCCCCGGCCCAGCAGTACCCCCTGCCGCTCCTCCTGATGCAGCCCCTGCTCCCGACGCAGCCCATGCGCCTGAGTGCGGACCCACACACCCCTCTTTTCTCCCTCAGGTACTCCCTGCTGCTGTCCTGCACCCTGCTGCTGTCGTGGACCCAGCTGCTGTCACGAGCCCTCATCCGCTTCTGCTGACGCAGCCCCTGCTCCTGACCCAGGCCCACACACCCCAGCAGACGCATCTGGCGACTCTGTACCTGCCGTGAGGGAAGCACAACATTAATCGCCTCCACACACCCTTTTTCTCCCTCTCTACTCCCACAGATATCGTGTATCTAGACAGTTGTCTCCTCTAGCGGCCGGCTCATCCACGCCATCGCCGTTATGGCTCACATGTGGCATGCACCGCCCGTTCTGCCTCACATGTGCCATGCAACGCTGCAGACAACAAGTCTCCTACACCGCCTGGAGGGAATGGGGGAGTATTGTAGTGGATTTCTCCCCTACAAACGCTGTTTGTCGCTGAGTAGCCGACCCCACGAATTCCCCAGTGTATGCCTCGTGGTCTGGGTCAACCAGCGCCACCATACATCACGGAGGTCAACTACTAAGCCACGCCTACCCCCGCTATAAAAGACCTGACCTCGTGGTGACCGCTCTCTTCTTCTACCTACACCAACCAGCAAGCAACACCTCCTCCTCCTTCGCCGCTGCCTGGCGGCCCTCGCTCCCGCCGGTGAGCATGGCGACCCACAAGCTGTCCTTCTCTGAGCATCCTCACCAACCAGCTCTCTCTACATCACGCTTGTAACCACGCTGCCACTTCCCAGCACCAAGCTGCATTGTACATCCAATAAAACATGTATACAGAGAGCACATTGTGAGTTTCCTTTCTCCATCCCATCCTGAGTGTGAACCCAAACAACCATTACCCCACAACACTACGCTACAATATAACATCAGAGACGACCGTCAATGGTCAAAACGGTTTTGTGTGAATCGGGCTTTCAGTCAGAGTTAGAGATAAAGCACGACGAAAAATGAACAAACAAAATCTTAAATGTCTCAGATAATCAACAGATAATGTTATCACGTCAAGCTGATACGGCCAGCTCAGATTAAATAAATCTTATCATATGTTCTACGATTTACAATAGCCTTCGTGAGTCGTGGAGGTCATCACACACACACTCATCCTACAAGCACCGAACCTTCTCGAATGCCCCAGCCTACGCCTCCAGCGCCGCCTACGGAGCGGGGGTCAACTATCAACCCACGCCTACCCCCGCCTTATAAGGCCTGACACCGCTGTGACCACCCTCTTTTCTACCCAGTGCCACCAGCAAGCAACACCTCCTCCTCCGCGCCAGCCTGGCGGCTCCCGCTCCTGCCGACGACCTAGGCGTCCCTCAAGCTGCGTGCCCTCACCACCCAGCTCTCCCTACTCAACGCTTATTACCATGCTACCTACCCAGCAACAAGCTGCACTGTACATCCAATACAATATGTTTACAGTGAGCACATTGTGAGTTTCCTTTCTCCATCCCATCCTGAGTGTGAACCAATATCTCATACCCCACAAGGGCACTCAACTAAGTAGTGCCCTTTAAGATACTTACACACCTCAATTTGGTCTCCCCTTGCCCGTCTGTACTATAAGCTCGGCAAATTCAGGAGCTCTAATCTCTGAGGGTAGCTGAAGCGCCGTAGTGCAGGCACCAGTCTGGTGGCCTTCCTTTGGACATTTTCAATCAACTGACAGTCCCTAGCATATCTCGGGGGCCAGACGGGGTGACAGTACTCCAGACAGGAAAGCACTTCACTGTTGAAGATTGTTTCGAGGGAGGGATCGTCTAGATATCTGAACGACCTTCTTATAAGACCTAATAATCTAGTTGCCTGATTTACCTTCTCACACTGGCCCGAGAACTTCACCTCATTGTCAACGTACACACCTAGGTCCTTTTCACATTCATTCTCAATTAATTAATTTTTTGTTGGTGGCCAAACTGGAACATATAGCCCCAGTTGGAACCAGCCACCATGTAATGTTGTCATTCACATTTAACTGTTACTTAGTTCACGACAAAACCAGGCCAAGGTGCAAATATTACAAGGGAAATTACAACGGGATGAGGGAGGAGATGAAGGGTATCCACTGGCCTGGCTCACTAAGGCATAAGAACGCAGACACTACGCTGAATATAATAGCTAGTAAAGTGAACCATTTGATCGAGAATTATATACCCAAGTCCAAACCCAGTGCCTCTAGGAATACAAGGAGACCCCTACACATAAACCATGCGGCGGTCATCAAAGTTAAGAAGAAAACCAAGAAATTCAAAGCGTGGTTTAGGTCAAACAATGAGCAGGACTGGAGGATGTACGCAAGAGCCAGGAACCAAGCAAAGTCAGAGTGTAGAAAGGTTGAAAAGGAGTTTCAAAGGCTGGTTGCAAGCGAGGTCAAGTCAAACCCAAAGGCATTTTACTGCTATGCACAGTCAAAATTAAAAATACGGGTAGTAGTATCAGACCTGAAGCTTGAAGACGGTAGTTAGGCAGATTCTGACCAGGACAAAGCAGAGGCATTGAACAGTTTCTTTTCCTCGGTGTTCACAAGAGAGGATGTGATTAATTTTCCAGCATTTAAGGACAGACGGCTCGACACAGCACTGACCCACATTGTGTTCACAGAAGAGATTATAAGAAATAAACTGTCAAAACTAAAGGTTCATAAGAGTATCGGTCCTGGCATGGTGCATTCCAGAGTACTAAGAGAGTTGTGGAATGAGCTTGCTGAGCCCCTGAAAATCCTGTTCTGTAAATGCCTGGATGAGCAAAAGGTCCTCAGTGATTGGAAAATGGCTTATGTG